AAGAAATTCCCCTCCTCCTTTAGTTCTCCTGTCCCCCTGCACCATCCCCATTATTCCTACTTTTCTGCACATTATACAGTCATGTTACAATTGTACAGTGGCTCTTCTCCATTTCACCTTCTCTTTTCTTCTTTTCACCAGCAGGTCTGTTCACTTAAATTGAAAAAAATACTGGTTTTTAAAAGCCTGTTAATGTTATTTCATGAATATCAGCTTTGCACTGGCCTGAATGTACACAGACAATAAAATGCAATCGTCATATACCATATAAAGGAGAAAAAAAATCCCAAAGCATTAAAAACATTTTTAAATATATTTACTAATTTCAAGATTCTTAGCCATTCACTGTATGCATTTACACAGCATCACTAGAGAAGAGTGCTTCTTCTAAATAAAATACCCCAGGCATTTATTCCTTTCACTATCCATTTCTTCAGTTTCTAACTCATAATGTTTCATGGCAACAAAATATCGGACAAAATTTTCACCTAATGCTTCCTTAATGCATGAGTCTTTCTCAAGTGCAACAAGAGCATCTTCTAGTTTCAGAGGGACTGATGAATGTTTCAGATCAGCAGTGTGATTTTCTTCTTGGAGCATATCATCATATCTAAGTCCTCTCTTTACTCCATCTAGACCTGCAGCAATAGTAGCAGCAAGCACCAGGTAGGGGTTTGCTGTAGCAGAACTTAATTTATTCTCTATGTGAGTGCCTTTTCCACCATGACATTTGACATTAAAGGCACAGCTGTTATCATTATATGCCCATTTTGCATTTACAGTCTCTTTTGATTCTTTACTGTATTTAGAATAAGGCTTACGGCAGCTGGTGGTAGGAGCCATCAAGCAGCTGATAGCTGCTGTGTGTGCCAAGAGACCTGACAGCCAATTTTTTCCAATATCTGAGAGCTCCTCAACTCCATAACCAGCAGAAAACAAATTCTTCTGGCCATTCAAATCCCACAGGCTATGTGACAGAGCCCCTGAGTTGTAGAAACCTGATTCTGAGAAAAAGCTAACCACATAGTTATACTTCTTAGCCACCTCTTTAATGCCTGTTCTAAACGTGAAGGCACTGTCAGCAGCATTTATGCCAAATGTTGGATGAAAAGTGATCTCCATTTGCCCAGGCCCACTGGAAGAAGAAAAGCTTTCAATGTTGGCACCAGCATAATACATTCCTTCAATGAGCTCCTGAATGAAAGTCTGGTCGTGGTTATTTAGTATCGTGGCTGCAGGAAAGGATATTGTCTTTGAATTTACAACCTCAGTAATGCCATAAATACAAAATTCATAAGTGAAGGCAGAGTGTAGAGAAAAGCCATTGTCCTGAAGCTGGCTCAGCTGTTTCTTGGCAATGTGCCTTGGTGAGGTCATTAGTGGGTTACCCAGCACAGTGAAGGAATCGCATATCACTCTGGCAGTCTGCTCAGTCCAGGGCAGAATTCGAAACGTTGATAAATCAGGGTTCAGGATTATGTCACAATTAAAATTGGTTGCATTTATGTAATCTAATTCATTATCTTTAGGATTCAGTGTCAGCTCAAGATAACTTCTGGGCATGGCAACACCATGAATTGCTTTCTCCTAAACACAGAGCAGAATGACAGATTACCAAATGAGAAAATAACTTAACAGTATTTTTATGTATGTAAAATATATAAAACTCAGATTCTTAGTAAGAACAATAGCATTTTTTCCTGAAAGAGCACTAAAATGCATTGATCACTAAAGTGGAGGGCAACAGCCAGTTACTCTGTCATTATGAAGCAGAACTACCTTCTACAAGACTGGTATGGAAACCCTGGCATCAAATATCTCAATAACTGTTTTTTAAATAAAAAAAAAAATAATAAAATGTTCAACACCTATCTTTCATGGTTTTCATACAATTATGGGCATCACCAGTTAGGTGCAAACTTTGCAAGTCAAGCTTCTATTTACAGTTACTCTATAAGGCTTTCATATCCTCTGAGCATTTCCTTTACATAGATCCAAGTGACCACACAAGACTCATGGCAATATGAATTTAGGCTGTGACTTCTTTTTAAATGCCATAACACATACTTCACCATTTTTCAGATGCAAAGTTTAACTGAAAACTCTCAATTTCTGGACTTAGTAAGTTTGGGGGTGCTTACCTGCATTTTAAAATTTAAATAAGAAATTATTCCAGTGTTTCAGTACTCCCCTTCTAGGTAGCAAACAGGATAAACTTATAATTATACTTTCTTCTCCATTTGAACAGAGAGCTTCAGCTTACACAAATGAAGGATGATCTACCTTCAAACAAGCACCTTTACAACTTACTGTACATTCAAACTTTTAGCTGATGAAAACTGCAATTATGCCAAGTTCTATCAAGTGAAATTTGTCTCATGTTTACATATTATCTTTATTTTTCTAGGGGAAAGGATTACTATCTGAGTGAGCAGAGGAGACAGAACAAAGCTAAAAAGGAGCAAGCTCAGAGCCGAAAAAAACAAAATTTGGGCTATCCAGATGGAAAATTGTTGAACTGCATATGGTGGCTCCTCTTAAAATATATAAATAAATAAAGTCTGCCTTCTCTTAAGTAGGTGGTAGTCCAGTGGTAGCAATTGTCCCTGTGTGACACTCATAACCAAAACTGCACAGTACGGTGAATACTGCTCCAAGCTGTCTAAGCTGTGCATTTGACACTGAAAAGGTGTTGAAGGTGATTACCCTACCGTACTACCTCTCCCTCCTCCAACCCCCCACCCAAAAAAAATGTACAAAAAAAAATTTAAAAAAGGAAATTACTCTCAGTCACACTGTATGTATACATGCATGCATGTGTGCACACATACACATTTTTTTAGTGTCCAAAAATCTAGAACATCCTCCAAAGTTCCAATTTGTTCATATGGTAAGGTAAACACAAAAGCTGTCTTTGAACAAGCTGATCTAGACATTTGCAATTTGACATAGTAACTGAAAGAGAAGTTGCAATTAACCTACTACTCCTCACAAGAATTAAAATGACTGAGAGAAAGTTTATTTTGATAAAATCCAAATTACATCAGAGATAGCAAACTGTATGTAGATGATACAGCTGCAGTTTAGCAATATCTAGAAGGAAAATAACAAACACATGGTTTAGGTTTTAGAAGGAACTTAAAACAAAAGTGCTCTACATCTTTCCATGTTCATACCTTTTTTGTGATCACTCAGTAAAGCTTAAAATGTTCATAGTGATATACGAGTGAAAGTATAATGTGGTTATGCACATGAAGTATCACAGAAGCAATATACTGAAAAGGCTGTTCAGTCAAGGATAAAAACAGTGAGGATTGCTTCCTAATTTGCTTCCTATTTCCTGAATCATCAATATGGCAAATATTGCTATTAAGTCATCATGCAATGCAATGGTATTTTCTTATATAATTGATGACTATAAAATTTCTCACAGCTAAAATGACTTTCATTCAGTCATCTTTCTTTTAGTGTTTACTCCTTTCTTTTTGCAATTTACTGATGTTCAGTAAAACAAAATCTTTATAATGCATTGAACCTGAAAAGATAATTCTGAGTAAAGAGTTTATTAGAAGTTCAAAGAACTGAAATTACTAGCCTTATTTAATTAGATTACCATTCAGGGGTACAGAGGAATACATGATTGCAGTGATGAAAAAAGTCCGGATCCTTTGGGAACATTAACAAGTGGAGGGAACAGATAATTTGTTCTAAGTTTGAGTTTCTGCCTGCACTATGAAAAAAAATATATATATAAACTATGGACAGGGCCATGAAAACACATAAAGGTACAGCTAGAAACCAAAAAACTTACATGAAAAAAGCGAGAAGGAACATTCTTCGATCTTGACACACCATGGAGGTCTATTGATTCAAATCTGACAAACTGTACGTTGTCCCTGGCCATCTGCTGCTTAATAAATTCAATATGAGAGAACAGCTGAAGGAGAGTTGGACTTCCGAGGCCGTTTACATCAGGCTCTCTGCTGGACTCTATAAGTGAAGAGGAATGTTCACGTCAAACAACATAATGAATGCTGGAATACAGGCTGATGTCTTTAAAAGAGCAATAGTGGGAAACTACGACATGGAGTGCAAAAACAAAAATAAGGAAAAGATATGGATCATGAAACATTTTTGTAAATAAACACACTTTTTTTTCCCTGAGGACCTGTATAAAATTGATTATTTTTTGTAATGGTCTGTAACTTAAATGTTTTTTCATATTGGTAGGAGAACACAGGGGAATCATGCGGTAAAGCCAGGAATTTCTGAAGGATACCTCAGCTGGTTTTTGTTGGGTGTTTTTAGGGAGCACAAATAGCAGCTGGATACCTATTTCCCACTGAAAGCTGATAGAATTCAGGCACTATATTTCTTCAATGCCTTTGAAAAGTATGTGGACACAGAAACATGATAAAAAGGGCACTTGTCTTCAACTAAAACTCTCTCAAGGCCTCCTGAGGAGGCCTGCAGTCTTCTCCACCACAGGCAGCAGACTTTTAGGAGAAGTTTATGCATTTATGTGCTTGCTATTATGGAGTTGTGTTCTTAACTGTATTACAGCAGCTGTAGGACTGCATAAACTTCTTGACGTGAAAACAGTAACATCTGCGTATAACATGTAATGGAGCAGAGAGCTGGGCACAGTAACTTCCTTTCACAACCTCTCGATCTCTCAGCCTGCTTTTCTTTTGAGTGTCTATGTATTTTTATTATTCAAGTTAAACTACATAAGGTATTAATTTCCACTTAGTACAATAAACTAACTAGACCAAGGGTAAAATTTGATATTAAGATATGAAAAAATGTGAAAAAATATTTCTTTCTACATTTCTGGGAGGAAAGTCCTCCATTCTTCCAAGGAGGCTAAGAATATAATCAGATGAATTTTTGCAGCTCTTTAAGATCTGCAGTGGAAGATCACCAACAGCAAGCATTCATCACCACCCTTCAAGCAGAAGTTAAAAGCTTCATGCTGAGGCACTACAAAGGCTGGTGGGAGCACTCCCAATCTCTCCAGTACCAAACTACCCAAACTGGAGTATATCTCCTTTAGCAGTAGCCAGCAGGCACAAACACATCTTTTTTGACCTCTCCTTTGGGGCAAGTAGGACTGCCAGCTGCGAGGCTGTAAGGAGGCTCTCCAGCTAGCCCAGCACAAGGCTGTCTGATTGTTCCCTGAGAAGGCAGCAAACTCCTCCACAGTCATAGACTTATCAGAACCTTTGAATATTACTGGAGCATCCTCCAACTTCAGATGGCAAGGAGGTGACAAGGATAATTTAGGTCAGTAAAGTAAGAAGTAATAACAGTGCTCCCTGAGGAATGATAGGTGAAAGCACATGACAAAACTTTAAGTAAATATAAGAGTCTATAGGAAAACAGAGTAAAAATCCAAAAGGTAGAAGCAAGAAAAAAAGAATTTTGTCACATCCACTTCTCATGACATCTTTCCCTTTTATCTACTTCAGCCGTAAGCTGGTTATGAAAATAGCTTTTTTCCTCTGTCTTCTATAAACACTAAGGCACTACATCCTTTAAAAGATGTGCATTAAATAAGGAAGTCCTGTTTAAATATTTTGAGTAACACACTCTATTACAGATGCAGGCAAAACACGATAGCGAGCAGGGAGGATATGTAAACTGGCCTTGTCTTGCAGATGTCATCCAAGTAATAGTTATCTGAACCACTTCAGTCATCACGTAACATTGTTTTACAACATAAATCTTTACTGACATTTAGCAGATTTGTCCTCTTTATGAACCTGACCATCAATTACAAGTTTAACAGGTAATAAAATGTGGCTATTTATTAGATTCATAGAATTTAAAAAGATTCTGAAAATCTTCCTACAGGTTACAGTAAGTAGTGTTTTCTTCAACTCCAGGGACAGAAGACTGAGGTTTTTGCCTTTGTAAAAGCAGTAATCAATCCCTTATTTGACATGTGTTTAACTTCCTGTGCAAAGATGGTAGACATTTCTTGTCTACCGCCTGTCACATGGAGATTTTTATGTCTTCGTATTACTCAAAGCAAAGTTTGGCAACCCTTGACATCAGTATACTGTCAACTTTTGATGTAAATTTTGCAGGTATTTCTTATAATGTCCTGAAATGTTGCCTGTTAAATTTGCATCCACTGAACATTTTTCAGATAAAAACATATAATTCATGAAAAACAACAACTTTAAGTCTGACCCAAGTAATTCTTTAAATCAGTATTCCTAAAAGATATAAATTATATAAAATCAATATCTAAGAAAAACACAAATATTATATGCATTCATATTAATGATGTATGAATCTGTTTAAAAAGTAAATGTATAAATATACTTAATTTAAACATCTACTAATAGTAGGTAATTTTCCAGATTTTATGTATATCTTTGATCTTCAAGCTAAAGTTACTTGAATAAATGCATAAATACATAATTAGATTATATGAAATAACATAAATTAACAGAAAATTCCTATAATGTTTTTAAAGAACATTAAGCAAGCAAAATTATTAACTGAAGAAGTAAGAATTTATCTTCTCCAGTTGGACTTGTTATGATTAATGACAGATCTTTCTAAATGATGAGACTAAAACTTATGTATCAGTCTAGTATTAGTCTAAAATTAGGCTATATACCAGTCTAGACAGCCTGCAAGTCAAAAGACAGATACTTACTCATTTACAACAGCCTTTATCCAAAATCTGTTAGAATCAATAGAAACACTCCCACAGCTTTCACATACTTTTTAGAGGCAGTTCAGCTTTTATATTATTTCCAGATTATCTTTCCCATTGAAATAATAAGTTTCTGTAAATTGTATGATAGATGAAAAATGTCATCATGACTTAATATCTCTGACTGATTTTGGAAATATGAAAGGGGGTTTGTTTCTTAAATAATATTTAGTGTATAACTACTGACAGTACTTACTTTTTTCCAGCACAGGTCCCAAAATATATTTTCTTAGTAGCCACTAAATAAATCACTGGCAAACTAAGTCCATGAAGCCAATGATGACTAAAGTTTGGACAGGTACAGTAGGGAACTGAGTACTCTGTCTTTTCCCAGTTCATATAGTCATTATCCAGAGCATTAGTTACTGGAGATAAGGTAGCTAATAAATAAGTATTATACAGGTCTAGCTGATTTAGATACACAATCTTACATTCTTATGAGGGAGGATTGTGTTCATGAGCACAACTGTTCCCCTAGCTCTCTGGGCCTCTAGAAATAATGGCATCTTTATTTTCATTTCAGAAAATCTACTTATGGAAACACGAATGTAAATTACACAAGATGCTCAGATTTTGGTTCAGATTTTCATTGAAAAAATCAAATATAAATCCAGACTGGCCATCTTTCTTAAAGCAGAGTGGTACATACAGATCCTTAGATATCCAGATCAAATCAGTAGTACACAGAAAAGCGCTTAATGTTTGTTTTTCTATGGTTCCATCTGTATTCCATTTAAGTTACCAGGGAGAAAAAATTAGTATTACTCATGTTTCTATTGTAATTAGTACAAAATATCTACAAATATAAACAAACTATCTTCACATATTTAAAAAAGATTAATAACACAAAACTAAAAATATTACCAAAAAACTTACAAATTATACAAATTATATTATGATTATTTCTAGTGGAAGAGTGGTGCCATTCTTAGATTACTAATATTGAAATCATTCAGATTGCTGAGGGCAGCTGACATCTGGCTAGGGCAAATAGTTAACATCAGCTTTATCTTCTCAGCAACAGAAAAGTGCCATGACAGAAGAAAGTGCACGTCTGAAATCAATCTCTCATTATCTGCTTGTTCAAAGAAATCCTTTCCCATGGTCCCTTATTAAATCATACCACATCTAAAGCAAACAGTTTCTCAGCTCTATCAGAGGTGACTGTGTCAAACTGATGAAACAATAAGAAAGTGCTACATGTAGCCAGGGGACTTGACAATGACAGGAACAGGCTGACCTAACAAATGTAGTAATATTGGAAACTCTTCACTGAGAAACACAACCACCAATGTAATGTAAGGCAATAACAGCAGACCCCAGCAGGCAGACTCCAGATACAAATCATGCACTGGAGAAGGAGATGTGTTTCCATCAGTCCTCCCCCAATTTCTTCTTTTCGCTCTGTCTCCAGCTGTGCCAGATGTGCTCCTTCCTGAAACAACCCTCCTACAGCCACACAGCTGCTGCGCAACCTCCTCCTGCCCCGTGAGACAGGGTCTGGTCACGCCTGAGTCCCACCTAGCATCAGAGCACACGTCCCTGTGCTCTGTGGCACGTTGTGCCGCCTGTTACTGTCTCAGAGTGGTAAGGAAATAAAAAGCTTTGCAAGAATAGGAATTGCTATGCCAGTCAAGGCAGCGTTTCACCACGCTGGAGCTGTCTTTGGTATCGGCTATTAACAGGAAAGGCAAGGCGTTCTTTGCAAAATAATCTGTCTAAAGAGAATAAGTTTTGCAGTTCCTCACTAAAAAGGTGGTTAGGAGCAGAAGGGTTAATATCCAGATTTGTCATAAATTCTTCATCCTTAGAAATCTAACACAAGGTGCTCTGAAGATCTATGTGAATATTGACCCCCTTTATAAAAACAGATATCTTGTGATCATGATATCCACTGGCAATGAGTCCCACAGGGTAATCACACACCTACACCCTTCTAAATCATATGGAAATTCCCATCAGTACTAATTTAAATGTCTGCTCGTCTTTACAGGATTCCGGTTTGTGTATTTAAGAAGAGCCAGTCTACTTGGTTTGTACAGCATGTTACTGTTCTCATGTTTGTCTTCAAACATTGACAGTCTGTTTCTTAAAACTCATATCACAGCTTTTCCTATGCTAGGCATCATTCTTTTTGCTAGTATTTAAAGCCTCTCTTTTCTATTCCCATCTGTTTTTTAACATGGTAAATAGAAATGAGTACTTGGTTACATTTGAATAGTACTATTGATGTGAATACTGATCCGAAGAATTTTCAGTTGAAAACATTATGTAACTTATGTTTCTTTTTCACCCAAAAATAGTTTCACCAAAAATGCTTCCTGATAGGTCAGTAAAGTATTTGATTTCTGCAGTAAAGTACATAAAAAGGTGTTTCCTACCTCTTATTTTTGCTCCCCTACAGGATCCCTAACAGGGGAATAAATATGTAAGCATACCAGAAACTAAACGACGATTTAGCAAAGGAACTTAGTGTTTGGGGTCAGCATCCACATAACATTTCAAACATAACAGTTCAAACCTTCTTTTTCTGTGCACTTGAAATTTCAACAGTCACTAGGTAGCTACTGATGCCTGCAGCTATAGCCAAGTCATATTTTCTTTCTTCAGAAATTTCCTTCTCCCTCCTACAGTTCCTGATCCCATCCTGGTCATATTTATATGGCCTCACTTGATGTATGCTTAAGAAGATGAGCCCTGTTGAGAGGACCTGTTCCTGGAGCTGCTCAGGTTTCTGGGGGACCAGGTCTGCAGTCTGCACTCAAGATTTCAACAAAATTTTTTGTCCCCAGCTACTGACCAAGATGTATAAAGGGAATTTGAAACCCCAGGTGACAGCCTGATTCCAGTGTATTGCCCACCTACAGCTACCTGGAGGTGCTGTTGTCTCATAAGGTCCAGAAGAGAAATTCCTCCTAAGCTTGTGTGGTGGCAACAGGCTCTGCAGGTCCCTCTGACCATATGCAGTGTGGGTGGCTGCTGAAGCCACCAGCAGCCCCTAACTCTGGTAGCCCCCTGTGACAAAGAGAAACCCAACAGTGTAATGTATCGTGATCCTTGGGAACTTCACATTGCTCAAATAAAGTTATTTCCCTTGGCTTCCTTTCTGGCTACCATGGTATAAATACTCTAATTTATTAGCATGCAGAGCAGCATGTGATAAGATCTGAGTTCAGAGAGGTCAATATACACTTATGTTATGTGCTATATATACTATACATAGTACATGCATGCATTCATTTGTGTGTGTATATACATACTATGAAATATTGTATAATGCTATATACATGAAATTTCATCTGAATTTTTACTGTTTGGAAGCCTCTCTCTTGGTCTCCCAAGAACGCAGGCACTGAACAGCTTAAGAAGCACCTGATTGTTAATGACTACATACCAATTTGCAGAAGCACACATCATTATCATATATAGATACTTATGCAAATAAAATTCATAAATTCTTGTTAGTGCAGTCAGTATATTTGCCTCATTAACTACATGTATTAGTTTCTATCTTTCCATGGTGATGAATTAAATTAAAAGAGCTTTAGCTTTAGCTTTAGCTTCAGCTTCAGCTCCAGTTTCACTGACACTGTCCAAGTAATATTTTTCGTATTAACCAAAATATCTTGCATGTCTGCCTCTTTTCTGTTATTTTTTTCCCATGTCCAAGCACTTCTTTTACAAAAGAGCTGACAAGCAATGGAAAAATGCAGTAATATTTCCACAATTTCCAATCAGAATTTTGGAAAAAATATATGGATTTATTATTTTGGAGAGATATTAACCACATAACTAACATGACTGTGTTTCCATCCTCTGCATTACACTGAATCGTTAAAGCTCAGTTACAAGTCTTAGCCTTTCTACTGCTGACCTGTAGAGACTGTCCCTTAAGTGTGTACTTTTAGAACAATAAGGCATATTCCTGCTTTGGCTGTGGCATCCAAATGTGCATAGTGCTCAACATAGCAACTAAGTAAATACACTGGGCACTGTTTGTAATAATCATGTATGTATGTATAGTCATATAATTTCAATGCTTTCCTACTTTGTATTCCATATTTAAGAAACAAAGAGAGGAAGAGAACAATTTACTTCTTTATGTGTATTTTTTAAATGAGATGTTTGGAAAAATTTTGGATCAAGATTTCTGATTTAAGCAAGTTCAAGTGTTTGAAAACTTGGAAAATACAAGAGGTTGTATTTCAGATCTACTCAGTATCGAGATATGTTTAGATCCAAGACTTCTGTTCAGGCACTTTGGTAACTAAAATATTTAAGATAATATTTTAGATATTTAAGATATTAAGATATTTAGGTATTTTAAAATATTTAAGATAATATTTTAGTCATAAAAATAAAATATTTAGGAGTTTATCTTTTCAATCTTAATAAATTATCACTGACAGCAATGAAATATGGTTTATGCAAAGACTCATTAAAGACTGCAGAATGTTATCTAAAACTTTCTTCTCTTCAGTTAAGTTACTGAATGTATTCAATGAAAATTAAATTTCACACACATACATTTCCAAGTAGAAACTGTTTTTGTACATTCTGTTTACTAGTGGAAAAACACCCTGAACCCTACAGTTTGTTTGGTCAAAGCCAAATGGAATCCAAACCTCATGAGATTCCAAAACTTTCTGGTTTGGTTATATTTCTGGTGAGACAAAACAGTTTTCCCCCACTTCCCTTCATAGTTAGTTCTCATCTATAGCTCTCGCACAGCCATTGTTATTGTCACTGATACAGAGTAGGTTTAAACCCAGGTAGCTTTAGGTATTTCAGAGTTAGGCAAATAATCTAAACTAATCATCATGGGATTTCTTCCCCATTGAGTGAAAAGAGATGCCCACCTCCAGAGGTCAGTTTCTCATCAACCCCTAATACCTCTTTGAAGACAAAATGCCTGTCTTTCTCTACTGACTGCGTAATAAACTTGGATTAGTGACTTCACTTTAAATGGCTAAAATTGGGTTGAAATATCCCTGTGGGATCTACAATTAATCTCATCAGTTCCCTGTACCTTGTAAATGGTGTTATGACAAAGAACAGTTATTCCTATATTTTAAAATATATTTGCTGGTTTTGCAGACAACGAGAAAACAGTAATCTAAATTTGACAATGCCTTTTGCTAGCCTTTCAGCCATGCGAAAAACAGTGTAATCTGGAAAGGGAACAGCATCAAGTGTAGGCTGAGAAATAATCCTCTAACCTCTTTGTTCTAATAGACATGAATAGAGAGTGGTTTGAGCACAAAATATCTTTTCAAAGCTTTATATTTCTCATGTAGTGCCCTGAGTTAGCACCGATAATGTTCATGGATATCTTGTTCAGACTTGTTCAAACTGGGTAACACAGTATGTCTACTGAGAAATCCTGCTGTAGCTAACAATATTTGATATATTCGAATTGTCTGTTTTCAGAGTATGTATAGCAATATTTCTACTCATCTGAAAGGAGACTTTAAAAAAAGCAGGATAACTTAATATTGTTGAACAAATTTAATTGCTACCATTATATTTTATTACGTAGTTAATGATGGACAAGGTATTTTATCAATGAAGAGATAAGATTAATATTGCTTGTATCAGTGAGATAAGTCAGAGGGTAAGGTATCTATCCTGAAAAGCTGATGATCTGAGCCTCATGCTCCTGGAAATTTATTAATCTGGTATCTATTCAACTGGCAAATTGTTGTTTGTGTGCTTCCTGGAATAGACACAAAACAATGAAGTGCTCCAGCCCATTACATTATCACAGCTATTAGTAGCTTTCAGGTTGCTGATCCAGCTAGCCCAGAAGTATAGCCTTTACAGTTTCAAAGAAACCACAGCCTATTAGTAGCAATTAATTGTCTCTATAAACACTTCCAAAATGGAGTTATTGAACAGCATGAAGATAAGTAAAAGTTCTCTGCCTCATTTACTTTTCTTCCCCTATAGTTTATATTAGATGTTTTTGCATTCCAGTCCTCTCACAGGACAGATAATTGAAAACATCATCCCCACATGGGAGCAATTTCCACTGCTGGAAATGTTAACAAAAAGGAAATTCTAAGAAGCCCAGACGCCATCAGAGCTTTGCAATGTCTAGCAGACCTTTGGGAAATGTTGTCTGAGCTCAGTTTAAATGAGGAAATATTTCAGTTTTAGTGAAAAAGATGTGACCACTTGTGTGTGGCATTTTTTGGCAGGCAGCTGGGCTTCATAAATGCCTTACTTAAAAAAAAAAAGCAGCATAGGTGTAGAGTACAACTTCTGATCTGTCCCAATCACACAAAAACCACAGGTATCAATTCTCTCATGTGCTAGCTGTGACTAAAGTTTGCAGCTTAACAAAACCCCACAAAACAACAGTAGCATTTTCTTTAACAGAACAGCAGGTGATGTTTAAATATCCTTACCAGCGTGGCCTGTGGAAGAGTCAAACTGAATCTCGGGAGCCATGTTTTCTGCATGTGTAGAAGCTGCTGGTAGTCTCAGAATAAGTTGATCCACGTCGCTTCCCGCTGGTTGCTGCTGATCAGACCCAGCAGAGCTGAGGACCAGGAGAGGTTTGCTCTGCTGCCCCACTCCCTCCTTGTGGAAGCTGTGGTACCTTCGATTCTCATCTCCAAAATGAGGACTAAAAGTCTCAAAGGGTCGGCCCTGTTTGTCAGCTGTTTTCTCCCGGGGCTTCAGATTTTTCTGAGAAAAAGTGCCAGCTGCCTTGCCACTGTAATTGGGCGCATAATCAGGCAGAGGACCTTCACTCCGCAGGTTTTTCAACTCTTGCAGACTTCGTTTAGAAATGTCAGGTGCCCCTGTGAAGGACACTGCAGTACTCTTTCCTTGTGTGGTTACAGTACTGCCCAGGGAGCCCATCTTTGTCACGTGAAACTTGACATCTTTTTCTTCCATCTCACCTCGTTCTTGCTTACTCTCTGCCTTCTCACTGCCTTCTCCCCTGAGTGCTGCCTCTGCGCACCCAGCTTTGCCTGTGCTCCTGGCAGGCTGCACGCCCATGGGCAGCTCCGTTTTAGCTGGTGTATCTATTTCCTCATGCATTTTTCCTATTATTCTTTTCCCAGTGTCAGCATTTTCCTGGATTTCTTGTGTTTCTCCAGACATGTCTTCTTTCACGTTGCTGCCAGTATGGGAACTGTCACGACCCCCTCTGTCCTTTTGTACTGGAGGAAAGCTAGTCAGGTTTTGAGAAGGCTGGTTTGATGGTGGTTCTGAGCAACCACTAGTTGCCTGAAGGGGACAAGGATCTGGGATTTTTGAGTTGCGGGACTTCTCCATCTTCTCGTTTTCTAAAGGAGGAACATGCTTTGTAGGACCTTTGACTCCCTTTTTCTTTCTGAAACCACATATATTGTTGCCATCAACTTCATCATTGTCACTTTCAGAAGCGTTCTGTAACCAGCAATAAAATATACAACCAAATAACATGCATGAATGAAACAGAACATGGCAATGGAGTACTACCACCAGCTGCGTTTACCTTGTAGCACTTCAATTACTTCTTTCTGATGGAGGTCTCTGTAGACATTTACTCACCCTCAAATTCTGCTATTTTGATTTTAAAAATTTTCACAGAATTCTTTTTCTTGTGTTTTAGAACAAAATTGATGAAAATGCCTTAATAATACAGATTTTAGGCAAATGTAGTTGATTAAAATATAAGACATTGTATATTATGTGACATCATCTGTCAAACGTGGACTTTAAATGTGAAAAAAATGTATTTTAATAATTACATTTAAATATATCCTTGCTCTTTTATATATAAATATATTTATATATATTAAAAGCATTTGTATTTGTAAAGGAAATTTATTGCCCTGAAACACAGAACACTAGCAGTTCTTATAAGTATGGGCAGTGAAACATGAAAATAAATGGCTTTTAAACGAATTCCAGGATTTAATTTGGCCAAATAACTGAATTTCCAGGGCAGTGGTCAAAAGGACAAACCCATACTTGGATATGTAAACAGGAAACAACCAGAAGATTATGTTTACCTTTATATATGGCATTGATATAATTTATATCATAAATCATAGTGCTGGGAGCAGATTTTAAAATGGATGTAAACATGTGGAGAAGGTGCAAAAAGGACCTACAAAAATTAATCTGTTTGCATTATCCCAAAGAATATCAAGAAGTACCTGGATCATTGGCCCTCCTAAGTATCCTGATCCTACCGCAAGTGTGATTAATCCCACGGTGACAGGGAAAAGGACAGGAAATCAAAACCAGATACATTCAAATTAAAAAACAGCAGAAATTTTAATATTGTGGGTGATTAATTATTTCACAAACTATCAAGGTAGGGATTGAATTCTCCATCTCACGATGCCTTAAAGACTCTGTAATACGGTTTAACCAAAATATAAATCACTCCATAGCCAATCAAAAATTGTTATATTGCTTATGAATACCTACTCAAGCATGTATTTAAGGCTTGGTAGCTTAACCAACAGTCCTTGGTTTGCTTGGGTTGGGCTGGAATTAACACCTGTAAAAACACTGGGAAAACAAGAGATGTCCTTTGAATAAGACTGTTCTTTACCTTTTCCACAAAGGAATAATCTGCACTGCCTCCAATTTCTGAATTTCCAGAAGAAGTAAGGATCTGCACAAAAGCAAAGTGAATGCCAGTCTGGATAAGGCAAAACAGATTCCTGTTGGCAGACAAAAGCACGCAGAAGAAAAGGCAGCAGCATCTGATGTGCATATGGAAGGAAAAAGTTACATGGCCTCCATTAAGGTCATTAATGCCTCCCTTTCTCTATATTATTCCTCCCTGTTTTCCCTGTTTTCTCATTATGCTATTTTCCATCATTATCTACTCAAAAAGGGTTTATGATTTCTCTCCTAACACAGAGCTCACAGAAATTTTTCCTTCCTCTCTCCCCCTTGCACTAAATTTCTGCGACGTGCTGTACTTACAGCTACTTTGGGAGCTTGCTGGGGCATTGCTGTTAGCATGGAAGGCAGCTGGCTGCCAGCTTTACAGGGAGGGCAAGCCACTCTGTGCCTGTAACTCCCATGCACATGTCTCGACAGTGACATGCTTGTGATGACCACTTGCAATCACAGTTACTGGCTCATTCACAACAGAAATCCTTTCTTGCCTCAGTTTTAGTGCTCAGTTTTTAATGAATCCATTTCTTCATCAAAAGGCTTTGGTTTATTCCCATAATACACCCCATAAAATAATTCTGGGGGTATTGCTGATACCTCTACACATTCACCCATGCAGAATAGGCCTAATTCCTATAGCTCTGCTATTGTTATGGAATACAAATGTAATGAAGGAACATTCTTGAATAATGAACCAGGCATGAACAACTTATAATGAAGAATGATAATATCTCTATTAGTAATACAAGAAAGTGAATGAAGCTGGGGGAGAAATAGTAGGGGTAGAGGAACCAGTGTTTGCCCATGGAAAAACCCAAGTAATTTTGAAATAAGAGAGGCATCAAGCTAAATTTCTAGATGTATAAAATTATTTTCTGAGAGAAAGGAAAGAAGAGTTCCAGCTGTGAAAGCCATAGTCATAAAGAGATTGTATTTTTTAATTGATTTATGAAAAATATTTACTTAAATATCTTTTGTGGCAGAGGTTGCCATCATATCCTGATTTCCACTTTATGAAGTTTTCAGAATTCTTTTGTTTCCTTTGAATAGCTTAAAGTCAGTGACATAATCATAACACCATCTGTGTTTCTGCTCTATAATGTATTCTCACCCTCTGTGCTCAAAGATAACCATTGCAAATTTTAATGTTAGACTACATTCTTGCCTGTTCTCCCTATTGTAGATCTCTGAAAAATGTTCAGCATAATGACTGAAGGAAAGATGAGCACATCCTTTTGTATAACAACTATATACTGAAATCAGACAGAGTAGTTCATGTATTAAAAGCAAAACATCAGAAAACTGCCTGTTCCCATAATTAACCATTCTAAATGATTTCATGAACACAAGGTACCATCCCCACATTATAATCCTTACCAAAACAAATTCCTTCCAAATAGAGATGAGCAGGATAAGGACCAGCCACTTGTAAATTTGTTAATGGAAACATTCATTTGCAATAGAACTCTAATAACTAATGAGGCTATAGTACTCTGCAAAGGGTTTACTTTCCATAAAGAAATTGTGACTATGGTACTGCATTTTGATCATAGACCTGAAAGAGATACTGCACCCATTGCTCTTAAACAAAAACAGTGTTGATTTTTACCTTCAGATAAAAAGAAATTCTCTTACAGAGAGCAACCTATGCATTACTTAAGATCCTCAGCACAAGGCATGACTTTATGCATGAGAATGACTCTTCATTTCTAAATAAACTCAGACATTTATGGACTTTCATTTAGAAATCATTCACAGTATTTTCTGCAGTGAATTAAACAGTGCTAGATTTGTTGCAAGGTACAAATACATCATCCCTTCATATTAAAAACAGTCACATGCATGAGTTATGACAGAGCCTTACTGTCCCTTAGTTCATGTGGTGTCTACCATCAGAAAAGGCCTAGTACTTGGGCACAGAGTGGAGAGCACCCAGGAAATAGGACTTAAGAATTATCTCTTTAACTTTTTATTTCTAGGAAGTTTGTTTATGGAAGACAAGGATAATTAAGTAAATTAGCAACTTGAATGAGTTACAGTGCAAGTGAGCTGGATACAGATCATGACTTAATTTCATGGAACCATGTGTCCTGTTGTGCCAAAAGCAAAACAGTCATGGCATTAATATGGCAAAAGTTCTGATTATTTTTTATTTCATTGCTGAATGTTCCTACATTTTTGTTGCTGTATGGCAACATAACAGGAGACATTAAAGCTACTTTAAAGTTCTTTTAGCCAACATCTGTTTCAGCATCATTCAATTTTTGTTTGCTTGTTTTCAAATATTTACTGGTACCCTAAGTCAGAGGTCTTGAAAGTTCCGAAATTTGCTTCTCTTTCTTAGCAAGTGAACACTTGGGTGGTGAGTCAAATATTCTTGCCAGAAAAATTAGGTCCAAAATATAAACAGTGTGGGACACGTTATGCAACAAATCTGAGATTTAAATTTTCTTTCTAAAAGATGTATCTGATGTTAACCATCATTGATAGGTATTGGTACTCCCCCAAGTTCTGATTTCTACCAGGACTTCTTGCCCCAGTGCTGCAACTCATGCTGGTACACTGATCCCCTCTGCACTGGGGTTTTGCACCTGGTGAGGTTTCAGTAGAGGTAGACCAGTGCAAGTCCTACAACAGGCAGGAAGAGTAGGGGTGGATCAGACTTCATTTCCCATTGTGGATAATCTCAACTCATACAAATAACAGCTTTGCTTCTCTACACTAGATACCTCCTGTATCACTTCTGATACATGAGAGTCTGGACGTCTGTGACTATCAACAGAGCATAAGGGCTACACTTGTGCGTTATAGCAGCGTATTAGAGCACCATGTAGGTAGGAAGAGGAGAGAATAGAGGACAGTATCAGCAAGCAAAGTTATTCAGCACAGTTGACCTGGTTTCAGCTGGGATGGAGTTAATTTTCTTCCTAGTAGCTGGTATAGTGCTGTGTTTTGGCTTTAGGATGAGAATAACGTTGATAACACACTGATGTTTTAGTTGTTGTATATTATGATTGTATATTATTATTATCAGTATTATTATTACTACTACTACTACTACTACCATTACTACCTAGTATTCTACCTACTATTCTATTTCATTCTATTTCATTTTACTTCAATTATTAAACTGTTCTTATCTCAGCCCACAAGTTTTGTCACTTTTAACCTTCCAATTCTCTCCCCCATCCTACCAAGAGGGGAGTGAGTGAGCAGCTGTGTGGTGCTCAGTTGCTGGCTGGGGTTAAACCATGACAACAGTGCAGGTGAAGCTGCTTGCTCTAGTTATTGCAATTACATGCCACTTCTGGCATGCCATTAGGCTTCTACAGCTGATAGACATTTTATATCTTGTGGTAACACAGAAAACATACCTCTAAAGCAATTTTTCTTAATCAGTTTGCGTTCACTTTTAGGCTTTGTACAAGCTCTGAAGTGGAACATTAACTGTATCATGAAATACAGCACTGCCAAAAGGCAGTTCATTTGTAAACCTGCCAATCGGCAAGCTGAGAACATTTGGAAATGTAAAGTGTTGCCTTTGGGAGGAATAATAAGTGCTGAGGATTCTGGTGTGTGAAACACAGGTGAAAATCCAAGGCAATTCTTGAACTTTTACCTCAAAAGGATTTTATAAGTGACTGAAAATATATCTGTAATGTTCTATGAGACGAATTCAGAGCTGCAGAGGGGACCTTCTATTTTTCTCCTATTTTTCTCCTTTTTTGTTTGCTTCATGACCTCAGGCAAGACTGCAAACACTATTGGGGTTTATAAACGTCTCTCAAAAATGTATTGACAAAAAGAGACAGGAAAATGAGAAAAAGAAACTCACACTATAGCATTTGAAAGGGAAAAAAGGGAGAAAGGGAGTTAGTTTAAAAGATGCTCTGAGCAACTATAGATGAATAGCTGCAGAAGCATTTCTATCACAGAAAAAGTGAGAGGCAAGGTGCAACTTCAACAGCAGCTTTTGTATGTCTAATCAACAAGATAACCCAATGTTCCTGCTACTGGCTACCCAAAAAAGTGATACAGCCACTCAGCAAAATGCACTGGGGTCTCAGTCACATTCTCATTTTCTCTTTTGTTTCAGATCATCAACCAATTTTAACTGTTATTTTAACTGACTGTTAAGAGGTCAAATTGTAATGATTTTCCTGAGTTGTTGCTAAAGATTTTTCAAGAACAAAAGATTAATTTTGCAAAGAACATCAAAATCTGGTATAACTAAGAACTAGACAAACATGGGAAACTAAAAAACTCTTCCTAAACAGAAAAGCAAAATATGGATGGTTTGGTTGGCTGAATTTTTTATTTATGAAAAGTTAAACTGCTTCACTTAGGTTTGACTTTGTTTTTTCTATCATATAAAACAATGTTGAAAAACTGAAATGAAATGTTTCCAGTCTAAAAATATTGTTCAAACTATGTTGACATGTGATATTATTCACATTGTTACTTTCAAATGTAACACAGTTTCCCAAAGTATTTCAATTGCTATGGAACCATAAATGCTGAGGAACTTTCTCTGACCCACTTTGGCTGTTACCAGGTTACCCTTTACAACTCCCCTAGGTTGGTACGGTCAAGTTTAATTAATCTTTTCATGTAGTAATGAATTTCAAAAACTAGAAGTCAGGTCTTAATAAGAGATGCTGCTTAGACCTTAGACAATAGTGCTCATAAAGCAAGTATGCCCATGCTCAAGTACTTTCTCTGCCCTTTCCCCTGACAGATGGAAAGCATTGCCCAGCTGCTCCCCCAGTAACCAGGCAGTGAAGGAGTAGAGGACACAGGAACAAATTTGCTACTGCTGGGAATTAATGCAGCTTCACTGGAGTCACTGGAGCTACACAGATTTGTATCAGGAGGGAATCTGGCCCATGGAGTCACAGGGAGGACAACACAGACATTTCCAGGGAGTAGCTCCAGGCACAGAGAGAGGTTTTGGCTCTTGTGTGCAGTGCTAAAACATTATGTGCTACGATAAACAGACACCGGTGGCTTGTAAGCTGGAGACATGAAGATCACAGCACATTGTCAAGATATTGCTGTGACTAATTTCTCGCTCAGTGACCTTGTTTGATGAAGTAGTTCTTTGAGAGTGATTTACTGCTACAAAAACCTCATGGTGAAGCACCTGCAAGTGGCAGAAATATTTGGTACATGTGATTATTTTGCAGTTAGAGAATCTGAAGCACAAACTTACCACAGGTCACAGGAAGATGTGTGGTAGTGTTAGGAGCAGAAACAAAGTCTCCTTTCTTCTTTGAAACTTTTAAATATATTCAAGATAATTAATGTACTTCATGTGAAAATGAATGGAATGAGTTTAACTCACAATATTGTGTCACTTATTTTCACATCTGACTTCTCCCTTTATCTGCTACTCCCATCCAAAGCCTTCATACTATATACGCAATTATTAGATGAGCTCCTCAAGGTCATTGATTCTCTTGCTGCATCACAGCAGTAGAGTTGTCCTTGTGGCAAGGTTATTTGCAAGTACTTTCCCTTGGACTATGCCACCTGCACCACGTAAAAAAAAAAAATCCCCAAAGTAAGATAGAGTCTCAAAATGAAGAAGCTGATCCTGCCTTCACAGCCATTTGGGACCACAAAAGTACACTGGTGGTGTCATCTCCAATTTGCAGCAGTGTAAATGAGATCTAAAAGTAGGATCCATTTAACAGTTGACTAATCCTCAGGAAGACATTTGCAAGGGAATGGACTTAATGACTTTTATGTCTAATTTCTATGACTCATTTCATATACAGAGATGGTCTAGGATGCAGTCAGTGACTCAGAGTAGGTGCATCTCTGGCATATAAAACATCCATTTGTTCACCTTGATAAAAATGTCTAGTAGCCTCAGGAATTCTGCCTGCACCATCACTTCTAAGCCACATTACATCTTATATTTTTAATGAAACATTTTAATGAAACATTTTAATTTCATGTTTTCACAATGAGATCTTCTGGACATTACTCAAAATAATAGATACATTTATTATTTTTTTTACTTTACTGAAAGTGTATATTACAACTTCAGGACCAGAATCTGTTTTAAAATGAACTCATACAGAAACTGAGCAGCTCCACTTAGGTCCATAGTCTGACTCAAGAGTGTCACTTTCTAATTCAGGTCAGACTCTAGTCCACAAATTGTAGTGCTTTCATTCACATTAATGAAGCCAATCTGTTTTCCCACAAATATTAATGGGATCAGATTTTAGACCTCTACTTCCATTACTTTTGATAGAGTTGTTATTATAAATGAAAGACATAGGAAGTCCCAATGTGTTAGATTTGCTTCCTAAAGCAAATGGGGTTTTTTTGGCTTAAACAAGAAGCCTTTCTTTGACCTGCATTTCCTTCAGAATTAGACCATGCTCAACATACATGCATGAGGAGCCTTGCACACAATCCACAATGAAGTATTCGCTCACTTGCAATCTTGAAGTGAATGCAAAAAGTATTTTATATCAACATATCTGCTCAGAAATCATTCACAGTCAGTCTCTTACCTGCTGAGTAAGGTCTTCCGTTTTGTTCATGTCCACTTCATTCTAGTTCAGGTCACCATTAGAAATGGCCTAGCAAAAATCTAGTAGAAAGACATCCCGTATTTATAGGCACAGATACAATAAAGGTTAGTTAAAGCAGAATTGCTGTAAAGTTCTTTTCCCAGAAGACCATGCAGATGATGAACCATAAAGAGCAACCCCAACGTGTCACGGCCAAGAGCACCACTTTCTGGAACAGTGTTAAAGTAGTAACCCAACAAATGCACATTACCAGATGCCTGCCTGCCTGCCTGGAAACAAAGACAACTGAGTATAAAACTGTTTCGCTCAACTTTTCTCCTCACAAAAGGCTTTTGTCCTGTAACAAGCCATTTCTGTTCTGGAATAGAAGCTATTGTTAGGCTCCTTAGAGGTAAAACCTATATTGGGCATTGTAACAACAGTATGTTTTTGAGGCACATGGACAGGGATTTGAAAGGCACAGCACACTGCAAGAACAATATGCAGTACTAGCCTGTTATTCTAGGTGCTTGTATGTTGTTAATTGATATTGGTGGATCTAGTTGTATTAGAATTGGGGGGAGGGGTCTTTTTTTTTATTCGATCTCTAAAAATATTTCACAGATTAGAGAGTTAAGCTTGTCTTTCTTATGCTTTTTTATTTATCAGGTTTAACATTAATTCAAAGGACTATGTTTAACTGACACTTCATTCTTTTAGCTGACATAACATTACAGGATGAGCATGTCATTTGTGCTTACAACAGCCCTTCCCAACAACTGGTGACTTAATAAACTCAATTAAGCATCATGTTAAGAATGGCATTTAACCTTGCAAAAATGCAGGTTTGGCAATTTTCTATACTTCTAAAAAATAAAACTTAAAAAAAAAAAAGTGTTTATTAAAATTACCCCATCAAAATAATGACTATGCATTAGGAGCTATAGTTCACAAAAATCTTAGGCATCTTCAGTGAAATTCATAAATACAGGTGCCCAAGTCCCAAACTATGATTCTGAAAATCCTTCCTTGTCTTGGAGGCACTGAAAGGCTACAACTCCTAACTGTGACTCTGTCTGTGCAATTTCTGTAACTGCCCTTGTTCTGAACTGCCCCACTTGTCACAGAGCAGAGCAGGCAACAAATGAATGTTTATTAGCATTCAAGAAATAGGTTTACTTACAAGATTTGATATTTTGTCAAGCAGACGTTAAAAAAATCAACACTCGGCTCTATAGGACTGGGCTCCTGCAAGTCAGATAGGATGGAAGTGAGCATTTTGCTTGCAGAATACTTTTTAAAAAAAAAATTGACCTCAGACTGTCAACACACAACAGTTAGCACAATTGCACAGATCCCTTTTTTAGGCAACGTACAGGTGTTATAGACCTATAGCTTGCCATGGCAGAGGTGCTTGTCAGTCTATGTTGTGATGAGCTGTGCCAAGAGGAGAAAAGTTCTGAGCAGGACTACTCAGACCAAACATTCTGAGAAGCAAAGGCTGGGCAGAAACAGGCCCTCTAGCTCTCCATTTTTTCCATTTTGAATGAACAACCTCAGCTCGTATTTTGAAAAAGACACACTTCACATTAAAAATCTTATTTATCAGAGCAAGAAAAATATTCTTCACAACAAGGGTGGTCAAACACTGGCACAGGTTGCCCAGAGAGGCTGTGGGATCTCCATCCTTGGAGATAAGCAGAAATTGACCATACAAGGCCCTGAGTAACCTCATACAACTTCAAAGTTGGCCCTGATTTAAGTGGCAGATCAAACCTGATGACTACCACAGGTGCCTAAATTATTCTATGATTGTACATCTGACTCATTTATACATATTTTTAATGAACTTCATTACATTTTTGCAAGTACAAAATATGTCTACCATACTTTGTATTCTGTTCTGCTAAACAGAACATAAAGACAAGAAAGAATAACTTGTGCCTTAAAGAGTGTAGTTTTTGAGGCACCAGTCTGGCAAAATCCATTAGTAATGAATAATCTTTTCATTAGCACTGGAAGGACCAGCTATTTCCATCTCAAGTGCCTATTAGATCCTCCTAAAAACAATGTTGTTTTGTTTTGTTTTGTTTTGTTTTCTGGACAGAGAGAAATAGAAGAGGGAGAGGGTTCTCTGCCAACCTGTGCCTGCGAGAGACTGCTGTTTTCAGTAGAACTGTGCTGATCAGAGAAGCTGAGAATCTGGTCTAGAAACTGGTGGAAGCCCATTTCACATCTACCACAATACACGGACTACTGCAAAGAGCACAGTTTGTTCAGTAACACTCATCATCTTCCCACCTTTAGCAAATAAGATAAATCAGGCCAAATCTACTGTATCTGCATGAGGAATGTCCAGGTTTTTATAAAGAAACTGGTTTTTATATACAGATTCAGAAAGACATTTTCTGTCAGTAAGCTTTTGCAAAAACCTCCTTTCACATGGATGTGGGAGTATTGCTTCATAAAAACAAACCTCTACAGTCTTTCTCCAAAAAAAGCCCCAGAGAGGAAGGTATTCTAAGAAAGAGAAGTATTCTGTTAGTATCCAAGAGAAAGAAGAGAAAATGAACAGGACCATGTTTATTTTACATTTATCACCAAATTCCACGAGAGGCATTTCTGTTAAAGGTAAGTGTGTTAAAAAGTACAGAAAAGTTTATGATTGTACAGAAATCCTTTATAACTATACTTATCTGTACCCAGAGTGAATGGCCATTGTTAAATGAGGCAACGGCTTCCAGCATCAAGATGCAAAGTTAATAGGCCTAGAAAATTAAGGTGGACAGATTTTGGTGTTGGCCACCAAAGAAAGTGTCAAAGAGTATGGAGTAATAGCTACGGCTTGATCAGGGAAGCACCTGTGAGAAACATCCGCACTACCCCCATCCCACTGACCTTGGTTCCTGGCAGATGGATCATCTGGAGCAGACCTGCCTCTCAGGCTCTTCCTCTTTCAGCTGCTTGTCCCATCTTCCCTCCCCTCCTCCTTTTCCACTTGATTACAGAAGCACATTTTCCAGTCTTTAATCCCTTCAGGTAGGTGTAGAAAAATTTAGTTCAACTTCTTTGCTAAGAAGCCTTGAGATGGTTCCAGTCTTAACATTAGCATAACTCTGTGCTAAAAATCTTTTTTTCCAGCTTATACTGGCTACAAAATCATATTTAACATTGTTATTAGGAAACCCAGTTTCTCAAGGGTGTGTGTCATGTATAATATTTTGATAGCTATATGTTCTTTGTAGCATCACTGGAAAGGGACCCTCAGAAGAACAGCCCATAAGAGTGTTTTCTGGAGGAGAAGTAGAGATCTACACAAAATGATCCCTTTCTTTTAGAATATAGAACTGATTTCATGAGTTTGCATAATTATTTAATTGAAATATGCTGAGCTTCAACCACAGTTTATCAAATACTAATCTAAAAACCTAGACACTTTGGAAATATGACACAGACCAAACATCATGAAAATGATCACTTAATACTTTAACTACAGATACTTTGTATGCACTGTCTATGATGAATAAGTGGTAATGAGAAAGTGGAAACTGCTCATTATCCCATTAGTGGCTCTTCAGCAGCCAAAAAAGAGATACAGCTTCTCTGATGACAGCTAGTGCAGCAAATAACTGCCAGTTCAGGGGAGCTCTCTGCTGAAGAGCTGCCAGCAACCTTCACACACACAACTTCACCATCGTCGTGGCTTAGAACTACTTCTGATTCCAGCTACTGACGTCAGGGTGTTTTTTCATGTATTTTCCAAAAAAGAGGTTAAAATTATCACTGCTTGTACTCTTCTCCCATTCAAATTGGTTTTCCAGAAGGGGAAACTTCTGTATACCCTGAATTAACATTGTTTTAAGCAGCAAAGAATCAGGCCTCAGGGCATCCACCAGGAAACACTTTTTTCTCCCCGCTAGTGTAGGTTACCTTCAGCTGATAATTTCTGTGGGTCCCCTGAAATTCCTAAATTGTTCAAAAGAAACTTTAGAGGATACATATTTTGTATCTGGGATAGGCCTTGGATAGTGACTAATGCTTCTCAGGTTGGAGGAAGGGAGGATTACATCCAGTCGTCTGCTCATAGGCATGGAAAATTTCTCAGAATAATTTTATCACTTCTTTTTATCACCTAAATTTTATGAGATGTAGCACCTCCCATTTCTGATCCTGTCAGGTATGCCAAAAGTCACCTATCAACCCTGACTGGCTTCAAAAGTAGTCCTCTCCTTAAAGACAGCTAAAGTAGGTAACTAAAGGTCAACAGAGAAAACAGTTAAACTTGAAAATTATTTCCTCCAATTTCAGAAGCCTTAAAAATAAAAGGCCTTTTAAAGACTTATAGTATTCTTATAACACACGGAAATTTCCAAACTGGTGCCAGCTGGCTAGTGCCAACTAACATCCATACTACACAGTACTTTATGGATATACAAGCTAAGATGGATTTTCTACAGACCTATCTCAGGAGGTTTTGAGAACAAAGACCCTTGAGCTCCCCAGTTCCAAGGCTGGCAATTACACGGCCAGCAAAAGGAGATATTCACTAAGTCTCTCCCTCACCACCACAAATCTATAAAATTCTGTACTAATACCTAAAGGCTGCATTACAACCTGAAGGAGAAATTCGAACATCAAAATCCCTTCAAGAAAATCTAACTTAATGTGTTCCTTCACCAACAGGATATATTTCTGGTTTTACCTCTGACCCTGTGCCTTGCCATCATTATTAAACAACATTGTGGTTTGTCTTGCACGAAGTGCCTTTTTCTTCACCATTTCTTCACAGCTGACATAAAATATTATTGAGCATCAAGACTTGCAAAAGGCTTCTGATTGATAGTTAAATTCCAATTTATATTGCCACCTAGTAAAATATAAAAATAGAAAAATGATTAGAGATTGGAGTTGTACTGATCCTTACTCAGTTACTGTAGCTACCTTTCTGCCAGGTCCTCTTTTATGATTTCTTCATATGGTTTTCTCTTCACGCATTCGCACAAGTATGCCTTCACTATGCATGACTGCATTTATCCAGTA